CAGTGCTCATGTTTATTCAATGAAGTCAAACGCCACAAATAAATCAATGTATGGGAAACACTGGTAATGTATATCGAAATATCGGAAATGTGTTTAAAAATCATATCACCGTTATTGAAAAAATCGCGATACGTATTGATATTGAATTATTGTCCAGCCCTAGCTCACATCATCTCATTTTGAGTAAAAATTGAAAAATAATACTAAAGTAATTTGTAATGAAGTAACTTGAGTAGTTTTTCAGCAAACTACTTTTTTACTCTTACTTGAGTAATATTATTTTTCAGTACTTTTACTTGTACTCAAGTAAATTATTCCTAAAGTAGCAATACTTTTACTTAAGTACAATTTCTTAGTACTCTTTCCACCACTGGTGTCTACCCTACAAAAGGAATCGCTTGAATGCATTTTTCATTACCTCTGGAAATGGTTGAAAGTGGACAAGCTCAAAATGATTTACCGGTACATTCCATTTAGACCTGTATTAAATGTCGTCAACTTGTGATCGGATGAATGAAAACACATCTTAATACCAGGTGTAAACAGGGCCACTGATGTTCTCTGAATCTATATAAAGGCTCACCTTGTGCATCTCAGACTCGATCTGCTGGTGGAGGCTTTGGTAACTCTTCTTCACCTGCTGCTTGTCTTTGATCATCATTGTGAGGCGGTGGAGAGGCCCTGAGTTGAGCTCCTCAGCGTGGCACTTCATAATCTTGCTCAACTGCTCCGTCTGCTGAACCATGTGAGTCCACGACTGATAACAAAAACCACATACCAAGATACAAAAAGACAGGATAAGAAATGTGGGTGAGTGAGTGTGAGAAACAAACAAAGAGATAAACAGAGATTGATAAGGCGAGACAAAAACAGAGAGAGTTGCAGAATGACTCGTTCTGAACATATAGAAAACATAAAGCATCAGCTCCACCTGCCGACCCATAATGCAGCTATTGGCCATTACCTTGGAGACTGTACTGATGTAGTGGATCTGAGAGGAGTTGTCATGCTTGTCCACCTGCTGACTGATGTTGAGCAGGAGCGATGCATATTCCTTATCGCTCTTCACCCGCAGGGTCATGAAGCGCTTCACCGTCTCCAGCAGCTTCAGCTCCCAGTCCTGCAGCTTCACCAGACCCTCGTGGGAGTTGCGTAGGTCCTGGCCGAACCCCATCTTGCTTGCAAGGCACGCGCACTCTCTCTCGTTCAATGGAGTGTGCTGCTCAGGTCTGCATTGTTACTGCTGCCGAGATATGATATGGGTAGGGATAATGACTGGTTAGATGAAGTGCATGAACATATGTGCCAAGTTGTTTTCTTTAGTTGGTTTCATATGGTTTATCATTATCTATAAAAGTTTAAATGTAATGACTCATATGGCATGTAACCATGACAAAAAATAATGGTATATTTTTTTACATGATGACAGCATGTGAGTGTACATATCTGAACTTACATTTATTTCTTTTCTTTTTTTTACAAACATTATCAATTATTATTATATTATTATGTCACACCATATGACACTATACAACCTGAACTAACATGTTGCTATCATAAAAAGGTCAAATTATTTGATATTTTAAAAAACTAATTGACATTCTGCAGGGGTCTCTATGACATAATTTCCTGTTTTTATTCTGCATGTTAGTCACACCACATGACAGATTTTTAAACTAAATATAATTAATATAATATTTCTAAATAAATATATTTTAATCTAATAAATACATAGGCCTAAATAAATATAAAAATAAATCAATAAAATATTTTTTTTCTAAATAAATAAATAAACAAATGACTATGCCAAACAACTATAAGGTTTATAAACAAACTATAAGGTTTTCTTTTCAATTAATGTGTTAGTTCACCCAAAAATGAAAATTGTCATTAATTACTCACCTTCATGTCGTTCCAAACCCGTAAGACCTTCGTTCATCTTCGGAACACAAATTAAAATATTTTTGATGAAATCCGAGAGCTTTCTGACCCTCCATAGACAGCAAGGTTACTACCACGTTCAAGGCCCAAAGGCAGTAAGGACATCGTTAAAATCGTCCATGTGACATCAGTTATTCAACCATAATTTTATGAAGCTACGAGAATACTTTTTGTGCATAACGAAAAGAAAAATAACGACTTTATTCAACAATTCTTCTCTTCCGTGTCAATCTCCACTGCACATTCACGAGAGTACCATGACACATGCACTGTGCCTTGTTTACAAGCAGAGGAATGCACACGCATGTGTCATGGTACTCTCGTAAAGGGCGGCTGAGGCTGTCCCGGAAGAGAAGAAAACGTCATTTTGTTTTCTTTGCACACAAAAAGTATTCTCATAGCTTCATAAAATTAAGGTCGAACCACTGAAGTCACATGGGCGATTTTATCAATGTCCTTACTACCTTTCTGGGCCTTGAACGTGGCAGTTGCGTTGCTGTCTATGGAGGGTCAGAAAGCTCTCAGATTTCATAAAAAATATCTTAATTTGTGTTTGAAGATGAACGAAGGTCTTGCGGGTTTAGAACAACTTGAGGGTGAGTAATTAATGACAGACTTTTCATTTTTGAGTGAACTATGCCTTTAAGGCTTTTTTTCTTCTTATCTTCATCACGTATCACACTGTGTATGTATGAATATAAATGCAGGTATATATAAACTTCATAACATTACACTTAACAATTGTTGACATAGGCCTAGTGTCTGAAGCCTTTAATTTGCTTGCTTGATTTTACACTCTATAGAAGCAAGCAAACAAATGACAACAATAAATTTTATGTGATAAATATTATGTAATGTAGGGATGCACCGATATGAAAATTTTGGCCGATGCCGATAACCGATAATCCTTTATTTTTGAAAGCCGATAACCGATATGTTGGCCAATAAATCTATATCCAAATTTTTATATACTTTTTGAGAGCCTGATTACAAAAAAGGTCTCATCATTAAAAACCACATCCCGAACACTTCAACATAAGCAGCCTAGTTTGAACGGTGTATGTTTTAAAAATAATTTTACTCTCCCATTACCAAATTTAGTCATAAAAAAGTCTTACAAATAAAATAATGCATAAATAATGCAAACAAGTCATTGGACATCATTACACGTGTAAAGAATCAAAATGAATGATCAATAACAGAAAAATGAGCATTTATCGGCCGATACCGATATGGTGGCCGATATATCATGCACCCCTAATGTAATGGGTTGTTTCTTTCAATACAATCTATTTTTTTAAGAAATTTCTATTGCACATGATAGTCAACTACCATTACTTAATTCCCAGTAAAACTTTTTACCATACAACAAGTGGTTATCCAGAATGGAGAAATATCAGCAGACGACCCAAAATGGACAACTGACATGCCACACTCAAGAAGTGTCCATCCAAGCATGACACAAACGACACGATCTGTGTACAACTCAAAGCCCTGATCAGTTTTAAATAACCACGTAACACAAGCATCATAAAGCATTCTTACCTTGTTATCAACGCGTCTAAATGCTGCTAAATAACCTCGCCCAACCAGTGCGTGCAAGTGAAACAGAGGAATAATATGCCTTAAACCGGTGAACATTTATGCCGGGTTTCCTAATACAGGTTAATTGAAAGAGAATGCAGTTTATCAAGTGCAAATCAAGGGAAACCAGACTTCCTGTGTGACGACCGGCTGATACCCACATGATTTATGAACTCAAGCCTGTTAAGAAAACAGTCAGATCTAAAACAGTCAATGATTGCTGAACTGAAAGCAAGGACTGTAACACAACACTAAATTTTTACACCTCCAGTTCCTTTCTAAGCAACTAAAAAAAAAAAAAAGTATGAGAACAACTTCAGGTATTTGTGCCTTGAGGCTAATGTGTGACAACATGCCACGACTAAAATGACACTGAGACATAACAATACTAATATACAACTGCTACAGTTAAATCAAAATGCTTTTAATATCAGAAATGGTGACAGACTAGTTTACAGCCTGTAGTAAAGCAGAAGGTTGTTTAATTACTGAGATTAGTAATGTAGTTTAATACTTCACAAAGCTCTTAATAACCTTCTTATATGAGAGTACATGCCTTCTGCTCCCCTTCGTCCACAAAGCTCACATTTAGCTTATAGACCACCGATTACTTAAGAAGCTTACAGAAAGGCAGTTCTTTTGAGGATGTTTGCCACTAAAAGTGATTAAGGCTATTGTGTTGTATCGAAGAACTTGCAGAATTCAAACAACTGTTTTTATTAGTGGAGACATAGGCTACTTTTTAAGATATCTTTTTTTGTGAGGGTTTAAGGTAGTGCTCTGGCAATACATTATTAAAATGACATTATTGGCATAATAAAAAGTAAGCGAGTTAAAGGTCTATCTTGCATGGGATATTTTTATTCAGTTAACATACCAAAGTTCACAGCAATTATTTCGTTTGTTTAAAGTTAGTTAACTGGCAGACTACAAGAGGTGGGTAAGTTGTGTCTATTAGCCACAAGAAAAAACCAAAGCGGCCAGACAAATAGATTAAGCTGATGTCAATTAGACAGTAACAGCTATTGTTGGTTTCCTGTGAAAGTTACTGTTCAGACTAACACCGTCAAAAGTGACAGCTCTTGACAGATATATTATTAAGGAAGTTTGTTTAAAGGGTTAGTTCACCCAAAAATGAAAATTAGGCTGCGTTTTACTCACCCCCGAGGCATCCTAGGTGTATATGACTTTCTTCTTTCAGACGAATCCAGTCGGAGTTATATTAAAAATTGTCTTTGATCTTTCAAGCTCTATCATTTCAGTCAGCGGGTGTTGCAGTGCTTCAGTCCAAAAGACCTGAAATAAAAAGCTCCCTTCCATAAATTATAGTGCCTCACACGGCTCCGGGGGGTGAACAAAGGCCTTCTGTAGCGAATCGATGCGTTTTTGTAAGAAAAATATCCATATTCAAAACGCAATAATCACTTGAATCTAGCTTGCGCTCACTGTTGTACACAGAAGCAGCTCCGGGCGGATGACGTATGAGGTCGGCTTTGCGCATGCGCCGCTCAGAAGTGACGAATGCGGAAACGCAGCGGAGAGATCAAAACAAAACAACGGTCACTAATTAGAAGTACAAAACGAGGATTTGTAAAGAAGAATGTCGGAGGATTTCGATATAAGCCAAGAGGAGACTTGTTTTCCTTTGCTAAAGTAAGGAAACTTCGCTTCTTTTGCTCCTGTAAACAAACGTTGGTTTTCACGAGACTCACTGGCGCATGCGCAACGCTGAACTCATACGTCATGCTCCCGGAACTGCTTCTGTGTACAACTGCTGGCGCAAGCTAGATTAAAGTGATTATTACGTTTTGAATATGGATATTTTTCTTACAAAAACGCATCGATTCGCTACAGAAGACCTTTGTTCACCCCGCGGAGCTGTGTGAGGCACTTTTTATTATGGATGGATGCGCTTTATTTCACTTCTTTTGGACTGAAGCACTGCAACACCCACTGACTGCCATTAAACAGCTTGGAAGATCAAAGACCATTTTTAATATAACTCTGACTGGATTCGTCTGAAAGAAGAAAGTCATATACACCTAGGATGCCTCGGGGGTGAGCAAAACGCAGCCTAATTTTCATTTTTGGGTGAACTAACCCTTTAAATATAAATATGCTAAGAACGTTGACTCAAAATCATCTTTTATTCACTTAAAATTTTTGGATGTCAATAAATAGATATTACAAGCAAGTTTAATATCTTATTGATAGAAGGTGACGTGACTGATTTCTGACAGAAAAAAGTAACACTTTATAATAAGTTCCCAAACGTCAGTAAACATTAACAATGAATTGAATTTTTTAAATGATTGATTTAACTATCAACTATTTGCTGTCTTTGTTTAACAAAAAAGTATTTGACAGAACCATTAAATAAATAAAGCAAATGGTATATAAACAGTTTTACACTATTAGTCATAGAAAGGCAACCACTATAACACTTTCTCATATTCAGGGATTTGGACAGAAGAGTTCTGCGGTCACTGAAGACACATGAGCAATACTTTTTTAATTTATGATATCATAACTATGCTACATTATATCCAGTTGGCCGCTATGTCATATTCACTTCACTGTATAGACTGTTAGATACACTGTTGTACTGTATCTAAAATCAGTGTTACAAGGTCTTTATTTGAGAAAATGTGATTTCATTACATGAAGATGTTTTGACACTTGGTTCGATTGCTTGGTCCGAACACAAGTTGAATTCCAAACCTCCCTCAGTCTCTGCAGGTCTCGTTTCACATTGTAAATCATTTCACATTTTGAATAGGAGAAAGTAATAATGCATCTTTCAAGTGGTTTACCAATATGAATTGTTTTGATGGCCTATGCTGATATATTAGGGATATAAAGAGGTTATGTGTGATATTACAAGATTTTTTATATGTATTTTGCATAACATTTTCTAAATACATAATTCATAATGTAAAATTATACAGTTAAACTTAAACAGATTACATAACAGATTTATACTTGATATAGAAGCCTTTTGTTGCACTATAGTATTTTTCTCAAATAAAGAAATTGTAAAAAGCATGAATAGAAAGGAAGTGAACACTAACCAACAGTGCAGTCAGTAATTTGTTACTTTGGGAAGCAATAATTTCAATGATAGCTCAAAAGCAAAAGCCTGAGCCATCTTTGAAAACACATCAAGAGCTGTAAAATAACCAGTGTGCTGTATAATCCTCTCTCCATTAATGCACATCAGTGGGAGTTTAGCTCAACAAAGATTTGCTGTGTGCTACAGAACAGCTCTGTGGGGGCACAGCTGCTTGAATAGCACTTCTGAGCACACCAGCGGAGGAATGTGTGTCCTCTACATGAGCGTCTCAAGAACGGGACACCAAACACAACATGTAAACAAAGTCAGCTGCTTGTGACCACAATCGCTTTATGTTAACATAATGGTGGATCAAAGACTTACGGTGTGTTCTTCAATTGTAATCCAGGTAAATACATTCTGGATGATTCTTACCACTTGTTTTATGACAAAAAATAAAAATACTCGCTGAGTTTCAGCCCAGTGGTTGTGACAGCTTTCCCACAGGAAATGAACCGCATGTTACTCTAAGTCCAAAACACTGTTCAAATCCAAAACGATAGCATAGACTCCCAGTTGTCAATGGTACAAATAGACCACAACAGACTGGGCATCAGTAAAATTATTGTGATTTACTCTAGTAAAACACATGCATATATGTTCTAGGCATATAGTGGCCACAAAATGTATTTGCATACTTGGATTGTTGCATACAAAACTGGAAGTCACTACATTATAACAAAATATGAAAACAAGGGGCAATTTTTAAATAAAGCCAGCACAAGCACACTTAACAATAAAGTTTAGATGATATACAAATTGTATTTAACATCATCTTGTTTTCAAACGTTGATGTCCATCATTGAGTACTATAACTTACATCAAAGCATCTCTGATGCCAAAACTGAACCACAGTAATGCTTGATAAGGGTAATGTTAAGAGTTTATGATTATCATATAAAAGAGCAAACTGACGATTTCCCCCCAACACAATTCAATGGAATTACCAATTTCCTTACATACAAACAGCCCTTCTCCGCATTCCTCCTCAATGCACAGCATGACACAATCTGACAGAATAACATTACATACTCACATTATGCGATTGGTTGAGCTGCTCAAGGTGAGTAAACCGCAATTTAGCTGGTTATCTGCAGTCTGTTTATACCGCTGTTGTCAAAAGTTTAAAAGGAGTGACGGGCGACTGTTTTTTGTTTTCAGATATATAACACAACCTCACACATCCATAACCGCCATAAATAACATTTAAGGACAGATGACAGACTGCAGAACATCTTTTATAGGCTTACTGAACATGTTCATTGGCTTTCCTGTGCTGGTGGGACGTTAGCCGCTGCTAGCGCTGCCCTGCTAATGCTGCCTGGCCTTTTCCTTTGGAAAAACAGCAAAACAATTGAATACAAACGCGCAAAACCGAGCCTCGCGCCACACCAAACACCGCCTGCGCGCCAACAAAATTGCATATGTGATAGATTAGTAAACTGACTTACTGTAAAGTGTATTGTGGTATTTGTCCGTGTTTCCTGATTCCTCGGTATTCCTCTTTTCTTTGACTGGGGTTGGAGGAGTTGAGTTGGGACTCGGGAGGGGTTTCCGCTCTGCTCCAGCGCTGCCACAGGCTTATGAGGCTCAACACACGACCCTCGAGCCTCTGTGTGTGTGTGGTGTTTTGGGGGGGTCGGGGATCAGTACTGTATACCTAACGTTACCTTAAATTTCATTATTTTTAAGTAGAAGATAGAGAGGTGTTCATTTTATTGTCATTGACACGAGGGCTGCTGCAGAACCGCTCTTTTCTAAAATGCAAATCAAGTCAAGTCAAGTCTGCTTTATTGGCAATTCTTCCACATGTACAGTACATACACACAGAGAATTGAAATTGCGTTACTCTCAGACCCTTGGTGCATACAGATAACATTAACAGTAGAACATAAATACAGATAAAATATAAAATACAACTATACAAATAAGGTAAAATGTAAAAATATATCTATAAAGCAGCACATGGCAGATAGAGTGCAACCCAGTGAAGTAGACAACAGTGCAGATATAATGATTTGTAGTGCAA